GGACTTAAGCATGCATGGATTTTGGTATCCTCAGGGAGTTTTGAAATCAGTTTCCCATGGATACTGAGGGATGACTATACATGAGAATGCTGCTGTAAAGAGTGAATGATATAAGAAATGTTTCATAACAATAAGATACTGTCATTGTTGACATTGCCATTTCTAGAAGGGGGTAGGAACTTTGCTTTTTAGAACTCCATAGAGGACACTCAACAAACATGTTGGGCTGAATTGTTGAGCTAAATTGAAATCTTTCTGTTCCATTGAGGGAGATTCTAGAACAAATATATCTCTTCAGTAATGTGAATTTGTTTCTCAACTTTTAAAAAATACGGAGAGATATCCACATGGATATCCACAGATATGCTGTATATCCATGTAGAGGATTTACACATCCAGGGGTTGCATGGAAAATGGCAGTTTTTATTAATGCTTTTGGTGCTGGATTTTATGCCCTGTTGTCACTATCTTTCTGTTGGGCCTCAGGTTTGTCACTTAAAAGTTCTGATTTCTCTCCTCTTTCCCTCCCTAGGTGTTGCTCTTTGGACCACACACTGGGAAATGCAACTTGTCTTAGGAAGCAAATCATCTTTTTTCTGCTAGGCCACACTAACCCTGGGTTCTAGACTATAAACACTGGAATGCTTCTTTCAGAATTGCCTTGTCCTTTAGCATCATCATTTCATATCTGAATTACCATCAAACCTGCTTACCTTACTACCTTGAGTTCCTAGCAGAAGATTCAGAGCTTTTTCTGGCTTTTTTGTTTTTTTGTTTGTTTGTTTTTTGTTTTTTTGAGACGGAGTCTCGCTGTGTTGCCCAGGCTGGAGTGCAGTGGCGCGATCTTGGCTCACTACAAGCTCTGCCTCCTGGGTTCACACCATTCTCCTGCCTCAGCCTCCTAAGTAGCTGGGACTACAGGCGCCCGCCACCACACCCGGCTAATTTTTGTATTTTTAGTAGAGACGGGGTTTCACTTTGTTAGCCAGGATGGTCTCGATCTCCTGACCTCGTGATCCACCCACCTCGGCCTCCTAAAGTGCTGGGATTAAGGCGTGAGCCACCGCGGCCGGCCGCTTTTTCTGTTTTAAATTAAATTTCTAAAATGCTTATTGTAGAAAGAAGTTTTCAAATAAGCATGTAAAATAAGCGGGAAAGAAATAGAAATTACTCATAATCATACTACTTAGATATATAGAATGTTAATATCAGGTGTGTAGACATCTGTGTACAGTCATGTGCTACATAATTATGTTTTGGTCAGTGACAGATGGCATAAACAGTTGTGATCCCATAATATTATAGTACTGTATTTTACTGTACCTTTTCTATGTTTAGATATGTGTAAATACACAAATACACCATTGTGTTACAACTGCCTACAGTATTCAGTGTGGTAACATGCTGTGTAGGTTTGTTGCCTGGGAACAATGGGCTATACCATATAACCTAGGTATGTAGTAGGCTGTACATCTAGTTTTGTGTCAGTATAGATGACCTTTGAACAACTTGGGTTTGAACTGCTCATGTCCACTTACAAACATCAATTTTATTTCAATAAATCCCTCCTGCCTCCCTTTCCACTTCCTCCACCTCTTCCATCTCTGCCATCCCTGAGACAGCAAGACCAATCCCTGCTTCCTCCTCCTCCTCAGCCTAATCCATGTGAAGACTATGAGGATGGAGACCTATATGATAATCAACTTCCACTTAACGAATCGTGAATGCATTTTCTCTTCCTTATGATTATCTTAATAGCATTTTCTTTTCTCTAGTTTACTTTGCTGTAAGAATACAGTATATAATACATGTAACCTACAACACATGTGTTAATTGATTGTTTATGTTATTGGTAAGGCTTCTGGTCAATAGCAGGCTATTAGTAGCTAAGGTTTTGGGGAAGTCAAAACTTATATGTGTATTTTCATGGGGGATTGGAGCCCTTAACCCCTTCAATGTTCAAGGGTTAAGTGTACACTCTATGATGAACACAACAATAAAATCACCTAACAATGCATTTCTTAGAACATTTCTCCCTTGTTAAGTGACATATGACTGTGTTCAGTTACATATATACTTGAGTAGATATACATATATATGTGTGTATATATACATTTATATGTGTGTAGAGAGAGAAATGTATGTTTAGGTATGTGTATATATATTTATGCATGTATTTACTCATTTTGCTTTTATATGCAAATAGGATCACATAACACATACTGTTTTGTGATATGCTCTATGCCTTTAAAAAGACTTGATAATATGGCAAACAACTTTCCATATCAATAAACTTATTTCTTATCCATTGTTCTCAGCCTCCAACTTTAAAAATTTATTTTTATTTTTGACCAAGATAAGCTTGATATAATATCCTTGCACAAATTATTTGTACAGACTCTTAATTCTTTCTTTAGGATAAGTTCTGAAAGATAGACTTACCTGCTGGGTCAAAAGTCTGCACATGATAGCAAATACAGAACATACACCAATTTGTACTCTTACCAGCGTGTATGATGGTGCCCCTTTGCCTATTAGCATTGGCGTTTATCTTTTTATTTAATCTTGCCAACTTGTATTTTTTAACTTTCTTTGTGTGTGTGTGTAGGAAGTTATATATTTTCTCTTTTTTTTTTCCTGCAACATGCTTAATATTGTCCTTTTCAAGGAGGGTATTTGTTATTTTCTTGTAGATTTGTAAGATCTCTTTATTTTTAACACATGTCAGTTGCTGTCTTAGTCTGCTCAGTCTGCTATTACAGACCATAGACTAGTCTATGGTTTCTATTTTAAGCCATACACCAGGTGGCTTATAAACAGTAAATATATATATTTATTTATTTATTTTTAATATTAAGTATCTAGATTCATATATATATATATACACACACACACACATTCTCACAGTTCTGGAGGCTGGGAAGTCCAAGAAGAAGGTGCTGGCAGATCACTGTCTGGTGAAGGCCCACTTCCTGGTTCATGGGCAGCTGTCTTCTCACTTGGTAGAAGGGATGAAGCAGCTCTCTGGGGTTTCTTTTATAAGGGCACCAATCCCATTCATGAGGACACCACCCTCATGACCTAATCACCTCCTAAACATCCTACCTCCTAATACCATCACACTGGGGGTTAAGTTTTCAACATGAAATTTGGGGGATATAACATTCAGTCTATAGTAGTTGCCCAGTCTAGCACTCAGCGTTGGCTATCCCTTCTGGCCTGTGTGTTCTGCATCCAGTCCAAGTACTACTACCAGACTAATTTTTGTAAAACTCTAACAAAAGGAGGCTGAACGTAAAAGCCTGCGATTTCCCCATAGTTTCACCCAATGTTTTCTCTGTGTTGTTTATTGGATTCCATTTGCTTTCCCATCTCAACTCAACCAGAAATTTCATTTTTCCCAGCCAATTAAAGCAAGGTCATTCCTACCCCTAAGTTTCTAATTCAGTTGTTCCATTTCTCAAGTTCTAGACCAAATATCACTTCTTCCAGGAAGTTTCTCTGATTTTTCCAGCTCTCATTTTTCTCCCTTTGCCCTTTGAGCTCCTGGAAAATTTGCTGTCTCTATCACATATTTTAGCAGTTTGGCTAAATATGATTTTATATAGTTTATTCATTCATATGTATTTTTTCATTGATTGAAGAAGGACCCAGGGATTTTTTGCATTTTATTTTTTAATTGACAAAATTATATATATTTATGGTATACAATATGGTGTTTTAAAATATGTATACATTGTAGAACAGCTAAATTGAGCTAAATAATATATGCATTATGTCACATACTTAACATTTTTTTTGTAGTGAGAACACCTCAAATCTACTATCTTGGCTATTTTCAAGCGTTCAATATATCAGGATTAACTATAGTCACTATATTGTACGATAAATCTCAAATCTTGCAGTAATACTGCAAGGACAGTATTTTTAATATTCCTAAATGTCCTTTAGAGATTGAGGCAGAGATGATCAGTTGTTAACCTGACTGGCTAATTCACTGGTTGAGAAAGAAAGGCCTTGAACTTCTGTGCTCAAAAGCAAAGCTGGAATACATAAGAATATAGAAGGTCACTATCAATGATGAATTTTTTTACCTTTTTTTTCTGGCAAAACATATACAACACTCTAGTAAATCAGAGAGCAAGATATTTAAAGGGAGATTAAAAGGGTCTTCCTAACTGTATCTGGTTCAGCTCCACATTGCAAATGCTTCATAAAGAATCATATAAAAGTGGGCAATTCTTTGATTGTCTTTGTAATACTTAGAAGGGGACATAGGTATGGTTGGTTCATTGCCAGAAAGCAAGTTTGTCCATTCGCCAATTATGAGTACTCATGGGGCCCCAAGAATTGCGGAGGGGCATGAGTATCCAGGTGTCAACACCAGAGAGATGATGAGTATGTTGTTGTAAGAGGATTTGGGCTCCATTTATTCACAGTAAGTCATCTGCTAGCAAAACAGCCTTAAGGATATTGACTCCCTCTCAGGGGCAAAACTTTAAAAGGCTACTATGATAATGAAGGCTTTGAATATTTGCTCTAACTTCCTGTGAAGGGATGAAGAGAAGAAGGAAAGAAGGGGAAGAGGAGAAAAGAAAGTCTCATTTTGCCACAGGACAGAAAAAGAATGTATGTAGAGGGATAGAGGAGGCAGCGTGAAGTGATATTAAGATGAGACCCCCAAGATCCAAATCCTAAGCCTGAATGCAGGTGGGGGCTCTGAGCAGTTTCAAACTTTTCCTTCCTCAGTTTCAATCCATACAATGAAATGAGGAAAACAGTAGACGTCTCTGGTACTTCACAGAGATATGGCTAGAGTATGATGCCATGAGAATACCGAGGTTTTGTAATAAGGCCAAGAACTATTATTTCAGCGTGCAGTGATGAAGCTGTCATGACTGTTTGTTTTGAGAGGAGCTCGGAATGCTTAAGGGCTGTCATTCTTCCATCATGGCCACATGAGGCAAAAGTGGGTGTCATTTTACCATGTCTTGTTTCAGATTCTACAGCTGACAAGGATATGGGAACTTGTTCTTGACCAGAAATGGTGATTATGGAGGGGCCAAAATTGTTGGTCACATCTGTGGATCTGTGGCTCTGTGAATTCTACATATTGCAGAAAGAGCAAATCTCTTCTTCAGCCTCAAGGCTCTCTGGAGCTGGCTGCTCTACATGGCTGTGCCAGGTGAGGCTCCCGGGCATTGCTGGTATGGATGAGGAGGGAGGGGAACTAGCTGGGGTGTGCAGGGGTGTGCAGAACCACATGAAGTGGTTCTGCAGGCTTCACTGTACCAGGGCCTGCAGGACCACCTCCCTGCAGAGCAGAGGAAGCACAAAGGAGACCCCTGCCTGTGTTTTTCCTACAAAACTACTCTTTTAAAACCTGAGCCAACCATTGTTAATGGAACCTTTCACTTACAAACACAGATTTCCTGCTTCTCTTGAAAGGTCAGCCGACCTGAAGACATTGCATGTGCCTCCTCTCATGAAGTTGCTGTCCATTTGCTTCAGTCCCCACTTGCCTGCTCCAGTCCCTTCTGATACCTGCTGGAACTCACAGTGGACTTCAGGGAAGAAAAAAGCGGCCTCCAGGGTGGGAGGTGCCCTCTGCTGCGCGACCCCTAACCCCTTTAGAAACAGAACTGGGAACAGAGCACGCTATTAAAAAGAGATCGGGGACTGTTGGGCAGCGTGGTTTTCCACACTCTCCCTTCTCCCTCTGAAGAAGCAGATGACAGCAGCGAAGATGCGCTGAGCTGCTAAGGAGAGTGGATCTGGACACCACAGCGTTTCCTGTTCACGCGAGCTCTGTGAGAACAACGCAGGCCTGAAGCTTTCCTGAATGGCGGAGCTTGTCCGGGTTTGCTTTCCCAAGTGGAGCAGCAGCACAGCTGGGACGCTGTGGGGTCGGTCCTTAGGCTTTAATTGGAGCGAGGCATTCAGGCCTCCATGCCTCTCCAGTGAGCACTGCCAGCTTTCAAGGACCCCGGGGACACCTATTCAGGAGGGAGACAGGAGGAGAGGCACTTCTGTTGCCTGAATCCCCCTGGCTTCTGACATTGGCCTTTTTTTTTTTTTTTTTTTTTTTTTTTTTGCCCTGGAAATATTTTGCGTCTGTACGCATCCTGTGCTGCTCTCAGCTAGCTCTTTACAATTCTGTGGCTGTCATGTCTTTTCTGGCTAGGGTGACTGCGGCTGCTCTGAGGCCTTCTGATAGTTCTTGTTTACCTCTAGGGGGTATTCCTTCTTTTAAGACAGGATTATGTAGCACACTCAGCTCTATGCAAGCTGTTACATTCATTTCCCGGGGCTAGGCAGCGGCTCCTCCAATTCCCAGGCCTCAGAATGCAAAGTTTCCTGAGCCTCCTTCTAGGTTGCACTCTGTCCCCTGAAGGCCCCTACCCCAGGGGGTAACCGAGTATCTGTTTCTACTCTTTTAGAAGCTGGCTTTATGAGGAAGAAAGGCCAGGAAGGGTGAGGTGAAGTGTCCTTGCAAGAGTCAGGGAGAAAATGCTGCCAATTTCTGAAAAGCTAAACAGCAATTTGAGAGTCATGCCATAGAACCTGCCTGCAGTTAATGTTCCAGGCAGGCAAAAGCAGCTTATGGCTGTCTGGGAGCATAGGGTTCTGCTTCTCAGAAAGGAAGAATGGAGAAGGTTTATCTTCCTGGAGCACAAGTTAGTAACTATTTTTGGATCATGATTCTCTCAAGATATAAGAAAGCTATGGGCCCTGTAAGGTCCCAGTAGAGACCAACAGGGGACTAATAAGGTTCCCAACAGGGATTCTCATTGGTACATACACAATACGTGTGATGCAGACACATCCCAAATAATTTCAGGAAGTTCGTGGACCCATTCACACCTGATCGAAGCTCAGCTGGGGGTCCGGAGCCCAGAAAAAATTTCCAGTTTTCATTAGTGGGTGGCACAAAGCCCCAAAGGGCAACTCTTCCCTCATCAAGCCAAGCAGAGGAGGCCATTTTCTGGATAATTTAGGTAGAACCTCCTCTCCCTCCCCACAGTATTTCTTTACACTTGGAATTCAAACCAAAAGTGTGTTGCTTGCCAGGTAAGTGGCACCTTCTCTGCTGGCCCTAGACTCCTGGGAACCACGGCCGTAGCTTCATGCACAGCTCCTGCTGGAGAGGGCTCTACAATGCTGTGAGGACATGCTCTAATCAACTGAGATTTATGAGCTAGAAAATAAATCCTGCAGCACTGGCTCTGTGTTTGACCTATGATAATAAGAGTCCCTTATGGCCTTGAAGCTGGTGTCTTTGTACTGATTTATCATGTAGACTGTGGGGAGCCATAGGCCCCCTCTGCTGAATACATTTCTCTCCCAGTGGCAGGACAAGCTTCATGGACCCAGACCAAATCCCTTGGCAGTGTTGCTGGTGGTGACCTTGGCTTCAGGCTGTCTATCAGCTCCAGCACCTGGCCAGAGGCCTGGGGCCAGGCCAGCGATGGGAGGACACTGGGTGGGCAACATGAGGTGGTTCTGCAGGCTTCACTGTACCTGGCGAGTTATGGCCCAAAGCCTCAGGGCCAACCAGAAGTCGGAAAGGGGGTTCCCGTTTCAGTAAGTTGGGACCCAGATTTGGCCATAGGCAAAGCTGCAGAGCCTGAGTTAGTTTGTTCTTAACTCTTCCGGCTTCTTTCTCAGCCGCCTCTGTGACCACCTGCTTAAATGTGTATTCCTCCCGAGGACGGCCTAGCTGCTTTTTGGAAGAGCCCCCACTTTGCCCAGCTCCGGCAGCACCCCATACCTCCCTCAAAACATACACGTTTATTAATAAAGTTCCTGCTTCAGAATTGAAAGGTTCTTCCACATTTGAGCTTCAAAATAGACCTGTGAAGTAGACAGACTTAGTCCCTGCCTACCTTTTTCCCCCAATTCACCCCTGATTTTACAGATAAGGGATTCAAAATGGTGAGAAGGCAGGGAGTTAGTGTTCATTAGGCGAAGGTGTGGCTTCTGCACAGCCTTTCTTTTCAGGTGAAAAGGGCCTGGATTCAAATTGAGGCCTTGCCCCTGGCTTGCAAGGTTGCTTCTTTAAAGTTTGTTGGACTATTCTGAGCCTAAATGTTTTCTTTTTTAATCTATAAAATAGAGATAATATAATACATTGGGACTGATATGAAGATTAAATTTAAAAAAAAAACATGGCAGGTGTTCAATCATAGGGGTCATACTGGTTGTATCTTCCACAGCCCACGCACCATGTTGTTTTATTTTTTGTTGCTCATGTGCCATATCTTTACAGGGCCATTTACCATTAATGATAACCCAAGGTGAGCATCTCCCAGGGTCCACACTGAAAGGCCCCAGAGTCATTTATTTTGTTTCTATGCTACTTTAAGTAGCATGAACACAAAGGCACTTTCCATTCTCATGTATTTGGCAAATCACTTTGTGCATATTGCCAGAATCTCCTTGATGACTCTCAGGTATGGGTTGTGAAATATGTTAATATCAAGGCAGACAGAGCTGAGCTAAAGATTTCATATTTTCACAGTATACATTTTTTTTGTTTTAACTCAGAACTCTCTATTAAAGCCTCTTATGATCTCCTGTCCTTTGCGTTTGCAGTTGTCAGTTCTACCTCCCACACTCCCACTGTCACAGGTTGGTCAGTCCTCTGATCGCACACTTGGCACTCCGTATCGCCTACAGAATCAAGTCTCAATCCTTAGTTTGTCTTCTCGACTGTACAAACATTGTGCTTAAGTGGCCAAACACAATCTATGATGCCCACTAAAGGATGCTCTTTCTGCCCACTATTCACTCCATCTGCAATGCCTTCTTCACCAGCAACTCCACTGCCCTGCCTTCACAGATAGAATTTCCTTTCCAAAGTCCTCTCTCATCTACAGCTGGAAGCAACCTCCCTCCCTCAGAAGCCCCTAGCACTTAATTGTGTCTTTCCTATACTATTTAATCACTTTCTACCTTGGAGAATATTCATTCTAATCTACCTGGTTTAGCACCTCTCTCACAGAAATCTCCTTGAAGGCAAATTCCCTGCCTCTTTCATCTTGGTAGCCTCATGATACCAAGCACAGTACCCTTCACATGTTTTCAAATGAATTAGTGAATTACATAGATAGATTAAAAAGGTTTAAGTACAGAATAAAATGGTGGAACTAGTTTGGATGATTGAAACGTGTGAATATATTTGAAGCAATGTAGTCATATTACTTTTAAGTATATGTCTTCAACTAGGCTGACCTAGTCTTGCTTCAGCCATATCTTTAGGGAACATGTTTTAATGAATAATTTATTTGTTATTAATAATATATACATAATTTATGTGTACTTTGTGCTTCTAAAATACTTCTCAGCTCTTTGGAAAGTCTTTTCCCCCTAAGTATTTTCGTATTTCTATTGAAAATAGAAATCTGGTTTACACTATTAATTTTTTGTTCCATAGATTGTGCGTAGGTATTTCAGCCCAACTCCTGTCTGAATGACCAAAATACATTTGGCAAAGCACCAGTCCTGAGAGAAGCTCCATGAAAACAATGTATTTTGTGATCAAATACTTTTAGGAAATAGTGTATCCTATTCCTTCCTCTTGGAGATTGCCATGTACTAGTTTTCTATAGAAATGCTGCATTATTGGGTTCCACAGTAGGGAGGTTTTTGTTTTTACTGACCTCTTATCAATATGAGTAGGCTTCCTCTTCAACGCAGTCACCATTTGTTGGACTAGAGGGTGTGTATTCATTTCTGAACCCCCTTCCTGCTCACACAGCACCCCCCATAGAGGGGACAGACAGAGCTCTCCCTATTCCACTCAGCTCCACTCACTACCACCCTTGCCATGCCCACCTCCCACCGTAGGCAAATTGCAGAGACTCCCATCTTCCAAGCCTTCCTAGTAGGTAATTTTAGACTAAACCATATGAAATTGCCAGTAGTCGATCGACTTCATCTTGTTAACCTAAAAATGGCAATTTCATATCGTTCAACTCAATTCTTCTTCTCTGACTTCAGTGACACTCCACTCAGGGTAATGGAAAAGATAGAGTTTGCAGAGGCGAGGAAAACACGTGTCCTCTATGGGCGCCTCTCACACCACCTCTCTGATCATCTTCTTCAGCCCTTTTTTTGGAAGCTCCTCCTCTTCTCATTCCTCAGGTAGGAATGTTTTCCACAACTCCACTTCATTTGGTCCTTACCTTTTAATACTCAGAGCTCATTCCCTCACAGTTTTGACTGGCCACTTTACGGAGACCCCACAGCTAATCTCACTCTCTCCTGAGATGCAGCCCTACATTTTACACTGCCAAGGAGGCACTACCATAGTCTTGCAGAGAGGAAAAGAATGCGATGCTTGTGTCCCACCCTGTGATGGCCCTCACCCACCAAGGCCAGAGTGTGGATGGACCAGCACACCATTCCCCCTCTGGAGACACGGCTGAGGCCCCTGCCCCCCTACTCCCGAAAGGTGCCATGGTTCAATGGCTCTTTGTCCTTCGTACAACTCCCTTTAGGCAGTGACTGTCAGGCAGAGGGTAAATCTCTTTCTACAGACAGGAAACTGAGGCACTGAGGAGTAAAACACCTATTGAGCATAGCAGACAAGGCAAGAGCCTTACTCAAGCCTAGAACTCAAGCAGTATTATCAGCTTGGATCAAAAAAAAAAAAAACCAGAATGAATTAAAAACCAGCTCTCTTGTTGGTAATGGCATAATTATCATGTGATCATGTGATCACTACCTGCAATATGATATGAGGGGCCCCAGGAGACCGCGAGGCCTTGCCCAGTGGGGAATGGGTTCCATAAGTAAGTGGAGAAATCATGCTGGACACGTCAGAACACATTTCTGGCTTCAGCTACCTGAGGAATGAAATATTCTCATATATGTAGTGGTCATATTTTATGCAACGGATGCTGTTTTGAGGGCCTTGCATAACTCAAGACAAATTTTCCCATAGCAATAAATGTAAAGTTGGATGTGTTCCAGAAGAACATAAATCTCTAATTATTGTGTTGCCTTTTTGCTTTAAAGCTGCTTTTTATTTTCTTAGCATTATTTTTAATAATTTGCAGAGCCTTTTCCCACATTAACAGCACATCAGAGAGTGAGGATGGGCTTCATTATGGTGTTTTACCACATGTAACTTCCTTCGCAAAGATTTTGATTTGGGAGAGATTTTTACCAGCTTTAGCATGAACATCCGCATTCAGGAGTCTTTTAGATGATACCACTCTAATAGATTTTTAAAAGATAATAAATTATATCAGTAAAGATTGTAATATTAGCAAAATTATCACACAGATACTAATGAATTCTTTGGTATATGTAAACAGTAACAAGATTCACAGATGACAGAGCCTGGAAAAGGATGGCTGGCATTTCTGTGGCCTAACACATGGGAAAAGTATATACTGTTTCCAAGACCTTTTCCAGTCTTGGAATTCTGCAATTCTTGATGGATTTTTTTTTTTAAATTTTGGAGGATTGTCATTGATTCCAATTCTGTGTATAATATGAGACTTTACCAATACTATTCTCTATGGCATGGCTTCAGAACTGCACAATTAACATTTTTATTCAGTGTGACCATGCTGTGCTAAGAGGGTCCCATGTGCCCTACCAGTTGGTCTCCACTGACAACAAGGCAATGAAAACCAATAAACTGCCTCTATTCTGCCCCCACTGCAAAACACCTCGGCGGGATATTTTAAGTGTGTGGATTCCCTGAATAGCTCTAGGGCAGGGGCTCTCAAAATGTGGTCCCTGATCAGCAACATTAGCGCCCACTGCAGGTCTGGTTGCAGTGGAGATTCTGATTTAGTACTGCCGAGGTGGAGCCTGAGAGATTCTGCCTTCCTCATAAGCCCTCAGGGGATGCAGATGCTGCTGGTTCACGGACCGCACTTTGAGTAGCAAGGCTGTGGAGTGCTTTGGGGGCCCTTCCCTGCCTCCCATAGCTCTTCACTTACTTGCAAGTTCCTAAATCTACCTTTACTGTACAATTAAAAAAACAGTTTAATGCAGCTGAAGTAACAGTATCAGTGATGAATCCTTCCTCAGGACAAAATAACCATGACTTGCAAAGCACACTCTCTTTTCGATGGTGGAGGGAGGATGAGGGCCCTGACTTCTGCCTGGGCGAGAAGCTAGATAAAGGAGTCTAGGTAAGCTGGAATCGCTTTTGAAGACTTGACTGATCATTCTGTGCAGGGCTGGCCGAACACATACTAGGGACCACTGCAGCTTAGAATGTCTCAAGTTTCATGCTGCTTTTGTTATTTAATATGTCTGACTTCATATAAAGGAGCTTTGTTTAGGGGTGTGAGCTAATTGAGCATCAAGGTATATGATATAGACATTGCCCTCAAGGAATGTAATGAAATTTTTAACTGTTTCCAGAACAAGACTGAAGTAAACGAACTCTGTTCAGAAACCACGGCGATTTGTTTTCCGTTTTTAAGTACTTTTTCATTCTAGACAGAGAAGTTGAAAATCATGAAGGAGCATGCTTTCTTCTCCAAAAGCCATGGGTCCATTCCATGTCAGAATATATTCAGCTTCTTGGGGAAATGAGATGACAACTAATTTTCACATAAAATTCATTCTGTTATTCACACAAAGTCCAGCAGGCAATATGCAGTGACGAAGTAGCTGTGTGTGGGATTACTGAGATTGATTTTTCTTCTTTAAACATTCCTTTAACTGTGGATTTAATGATGTTTATACAGTAAAAACATTCATTTTAGAAGGCCAAATAATCTCTGAACTGTTTCTATTGTGCATTGTATTGGTAGGGATAGAATAAGCTCATTATTCCCATACAGTCAGGAGAGCGGAAAGTGATTAAACCTTTTGATAAGAAGATAAATGATAGGAAATCCATCTGAAAGCCCACACTGCCCCAGTCAGAGTTTCCACAGGAGCTAGCACAAAGCCTTCCTTCTGTGCAGGGCGCCCTGGGCAGCCTCGTCCTTCCAGCTGTTGTCCCACGTTGGCTGTGACACTCTTAGAGATTCACACCTGGGGCTGTAGTGTTTTCCCAGGAGGACCTGGGAGACTAGGCCAGGCTCCTTGCTATGCTCCACTTCAATACTCATCACTCTTGGAAGGATTTGTTGAATGTGTGCTTCCCTGGTGCTATGTACTCCCAGATGTCAAAGACTGTGTCTCATCTGCACAGTCTGCCACACGAGGGTATTTGCTGGATGGATGGATGGATGGATGGATGGATGGATGGATGGATGGATGGAATGCATAGAAGGACAGACAGATGGACAGACAAATGGAAGGAAGGATGGATGGAACCTTATCAAGCTTTAAAGAAGTCTTCATTGAATGTTTGGCCCTAGGCCAGACCTCTAGTTCTAAGGCTGGTAATTGGTAAGCTTGGATGTAGTCCTGCCTTCTCATTAGACTAGTAAGCTGCATAAGTCCCTTGCCCCTCCAAGGCATAGGCTTCTCATTGGGGAAGTCAGGGGAAGCCCATCTTTCTCAGGAAGTTTGTGTGAACACAGTGATTTATGTAATGATGCATTGAAAATTATATCCATCCATCCCTATGCTCTCAAACAGTTTGAACCACCTTCAGCGTGTCCGTTTCTGGCCCCAGAACTTTCATTCAGGGCCTTGAAGGCACTCAGGGCACGCGGACCCTCCAGCTCCCAACTCCCTCTCACTTCATCTCAGGCCATGGCAGAGCGAGGTATGAACTCCCAATCCCAAGTTTAATCTCCATTAAGCAAGGAGTTGAGTTCAGAAATTACGAAAATCCCTCTGTGTTTGTGTCAGAGCACACCTGCCCACCATTGCTGTGCTTTCGCTCTTCCGGTAAGGGATTGAGGGATTCGACTTGGGACTGGCCAACCACCAGGATGAACTGGCGCTTCACTGAAGCTTCAAAGTTTTGTGTAGCAAGGATACAGATTTTTAAAAATCTGGTTGTCATTTCTCTAAGGAAAACCTTTTTCTTTTCTTATGTACAAGAAAATAAACAAAACAAGAGAAAATCCCCAAACTTCACATTAGAATTTCTTTTGTTGTTTGTTTATATTTAATTCTGTTTTATTTTAAGTTCCGGGATACACGTGCAGGACGTGCAGGTTTGCACATTAGACTTTCTACTTACGCTCTTGATCTCTTGTCTGACAAATTAACAACTTCGTCACTTCCACAAGCCTTATTAAGCTCTCTTTACTTTTGGAATTAATTGTGATAGGTTGACAAAACTCCAGAGAGCATTGAAGAATAGATTTGACTCTATTGCCAGCTTACTCTAAATTTGTCTCACTCATGTGAAAGCAATGGCACTTTGTAATCTGGAATCAGGAATTTATCAAATTAGAGCTTTCTCTAGTGTCAGAGTAAATTAGAGCACAAATGATTTTTTTGAATAATACTAATAAAATGAAGCTGATGGTTCCATTTGCCGTCTTGTATATGAAATGATCTGTTTACATGAGTTTATTTTTAGCAGACTCTTTACCGAAGAGTTCAGGATAAATTCAGTGTTTGGGCCTAAATTTACCCTATTTATACTGGCTAGCACATTTTAAAAGAGATACATCAATGAAATTACTTTGTGCCTACGCAAATCTTTGGTTTAGGAATCAAAAGATGTAAGTTCTAATCCTGGTTTTGCCATTTACTTACTGGCTCTACGTCCAGAGGAGACATCTGCTGTTTTTGCCTGTCTATGGCCCTCCTCCCTGTTTCCAAGTAACAATAGCTCTTTCTCACTCCTGGTCCATGTTTTCTTTGGAGCTGATTCCTCCGGCCTTAGGGACATTCAGGGTCATGGTGATTAGTTTAGCACTGGACAATGCAATTTAATCTAGGTTAATGAAATTTAATCTGTGACTTTCACTGGAACTATAGAGAAAAGTACTTAATTTCACTGAGACTACCCAGTTAGTTAGACTATAAGGCTAGAGCCTCTGGTCACCATTTTTTGTCACCTCATAGAAAGGCAAATGCATTACTAAGAAATGGAGAAATATACATTTTGGACATTAATTGAGCACCTGGCTGCAGCCATACCTGCAACGAGTAATGCTTGGGCTTTCCCAATGTTAATAAATGATCCCTTTCCTCTCCAGTTTTCTTTTGTTCTCCCTCCTTTTTTCCCCTCCTTCCTTCCTTCTTTCTTTCCTTCCTTTCTTCCTGTTTCTGGCTTAGTTTTGTCATTTGCAATCAAAAGAATAGTGACCTTAGTAAATGCCTTAACCTCTCTGTACTTTAGTATGTAATTGATAAAATGAAATGAAATTTTTTTTTGGTCTAAGAGTATTTATGACTCAAATATACATTCTAGTGAAGCACTTTTGGAAGTATATTTGTTCCGGGACACCAACTAAACATTCAGGGACTGGAAAGAGGCAACACATCTCCAAATGTCTCTCAGCTATGCCTCTAGGATCAGTGACTTCATTGTCATCATGGGCCATCTCATGTGTCCAGCTGGTTTGTGAATTGACAAAATGCTGTCACCAAATCACATCTGTACCAGAGGGTGGTACCTTAATCACTGCTAACACACTGCTGTCCCTGAAGAGGAAGTAACTGGTACACTGAATGACTTGAGCTCGGGAGAGTACAGGCAGGTAACAATTTTATTCTTTCTCACTGTAGATAATTTTTCCCCACTCATGAGATAAATGATCAAGCAAGTCCCATGGTTTTTCCTGTCATTCTTAGATAAGAAAAAGTTCTCAGGCCACTTTAAGTTATAACAATAGCTTAATTTCAATAATTAAAATATTCAGTCTGCCCTAATCATTAACACTTCCAACTTTATGCAAATCTTAAATCTTCTCTCTCCTCCCACCCTGGGCCTGAGCAGTGGGGGAGGGAGAATGGTTGGCTTCTTCTCCATTCCCCCTCTGCCTTGTCCTTCTCCTCCTCCCTACATGACCAGGCTGCTTCAGGCTCCTGCGGGGCTTTGAGATGGTGGAGAGGAGAGGTAAGGAATTGGAAACTTTGTCATATTTGACTTCCATAGCCATAACCCACGTTGTTACCTTCTGGTTGGACAGATTCCCAATGGAGACCTTTCGGTTGGTCTCTGTGGGGGTCGTTCTCTTCTTTGGAAACTTTAACTGCAATGGAAATCACCTTTCCTCCTTTAGCCCTTGCTCATTCAGCACTCCACTGGACCTGTTGGGTCCCATCTCCCTTCCAGGTGGTCCATATGAGACTGGTCTAAGATTTTGCCAAGCCAGCTCCCTTCCTAGGATCCCACATCTAATCTTTGAAAAACTGCCATTGAGGAAGTGTAATTGGCCCTCAATCCACTCTCTCTACCCTGCCACCCTGTTTCAGCAAGCTTCCTGCCTGTGGGCTTCTTCAGGTGTGAGTCTGACCCCACCTACTGAAGGAGACACAGGTCAAGCTCTCCAACTGGTTCTTTTAAAGCCTATCTCAGCTGGATTGAAAAGAGGGGAGTCACCCTTCCTTCTCAACCCCAATGCATGGAGAGAGCATTTGTCCAGAAGACTCAGAGCACACTCTCAACTCTCTTGGAAGGAAGGCAGCTTCCTTAACCCCAACCACGTTACAGCCTCCAGGCAGATTATGGCCAGGGGACAAAACTTAATAATGGCTGCCATAAGTGGTCTAGAATTTCACTTTGGATTGGGGCTTTCTTGGCTTCTAATGTTCACTGATATTTCTCAGTCTCTGGAGCCTCAGCCAAAACTGAAACATAGTGAGTCTCATTTTAATATCCCAGTCCATGCCTCATGGTTCATGTCAGAATTTTCTGGCTCTGCTTCTACCTGTAAATGGAAAGTTCTGGGTGGAGGAATCTCCCATCCCATCCTTGGGATATTCCCCAAATCATCTCTGTCCAGGAACAAAGAGGATCTAGGCCACAGTGGTTCTAGGAATGAGAAGCATTTACCTTCTACAGGACTATTTCTTCAGATGCATTTTCCTGTGTTTGGGAGAATTTCAGTCACATCTGATGGGACTTCTAGCTAATCTTACTCTAACATAAATTATTGGTCCTAACACTTTCATAAGTCAGACTCACAAAAGGAGGCCCAGAGAGGTTAAGTAGCTCTCCCAAGGTCACACAGCAGAACCGTGGCAAGAACCCAAACCACAACCACCAGTCTTTTACTCTGGCCTCTACGCCTTGCAAACTCCTTCTAAGCTCATTATCATCTGTTAAAATCCCATCTCTCATTTTGCACACAGCAGCCGACATGTCTGTGGATTCATATTAAAAAGAATGCAAACATTTCCAGAATTCATTTCCATTTCCATTTCCAGCTCTGAGGAGGTGTTAACTTCAGAGTACTTCGCTGATCATTTTTTTCTCCAGCAGCAATAATTGTTTTGAAGAACTTGACACACATTTCACCAGGGCTCGGTGCTACTGAGCAGGCCGGGAGCAGTAAGGAACTGAATTCCAAGAGCCAAATTTGCATTGTG